AATCATCGCTCCGGCCTGACAGGGCATCATCACAATATGGTAAGGGGCGTAACATTTCCGTCACACGCTTGAGGTATTCGGCCAATCACAATGCACTGGATAGCTGGCCAATCACAGCACACCTCGCTTTTCAGACCGATGAGCTGGCCAATCGATGAGCTTTTGCAAAAATCGACGCGAATGTGTTTTTTGAACCTTAAACCGCATAGACACATTTCATTACACCAAATACACAAAATAATGTTCTTTTTAGCAGCATCATATGACCCCTTTAACTTTTTTGATCCACTTCAAATGTTGACTACTGTATAAATTAAAAGACATTTCTTTTAAATGTATAGCAGAGTAATGAGGCAGCAGCATATGATAGATAAGACGAACAAGAAAGGCTATTAATAATCGTTCATTGCGCAAAAGTATTATGATACTAAAGGCTACAAATACAGAGCGGCTCAAAGCGCTTATGTGCATCCTGTGCGGAGAATGATGCGCTTGAAGCAACACGTCACAGCGCGCAGAACACTTGAAATATAGTGCACGAAAACATTATGGTGCTTTACAATGTTTTTGTGGCTTTCGTGGGGCTTAATAATAACACAGAATAGTATACGCACTATATCGGATTTGGATCGGTCTCGTCTGACCGATACCCCGATCCAGCAGAAAATGCCAGTATCGGAGCGATACCGATACTGAATATCGGATCGGCGCACCCCTACTAATTTCACATAACAGTGTTGTGGAAGCTAATCTGAAACTGTCTGTAGCCTAAAGCTACAAGCTACTCACTCATAAGTGAAAGTAGTTAAGTTACATTCAAGCTACACTCAAGCCTTAAAAGTAATTACACAAAAAGCTAGCTACATTTAAAATAATTTTTTTAATACATTTTTACAAATAACTGATTTTTTTTATTTGTTTTATGATGAATGTTATAAGTAAAATATTTGGGGTTTAAAATATTAAGCAACATATTTGGTAAGTACCACATGTGATATTCAGTTGAGATCCATTTCTTTTTCTTTTTTTTTGTTCCCAACTGCCTCTTATACAAACACACACACACACACACACACACATATATGTTGACTGCAGACCAGTCAAGTTCTTCCACAATAACTGAATCAATCATTTATTTTTGATTCTTGACTTACACACAGAGGTATTGTCATGTTAGAATAGAAAAAAGTATTTTCAAACATTAAGATTTGTACTCATGGAAATTATTAAAGTAGTCAAACCTTTTCATTAGAAGGGGGTATCACAATACTTTTGTCTATATAGTGCATAATGTGTGTGCATGAAAAAAATAATAATAATAATTTTGATTTTGTCAAATCATTTTGAAGATATAATTTAACAAACAGACCAACATTAAACTTTGTAGATCAGGATATTCTGGGAGCATAAGCCTTCCTCTTGTTAAACTCATAAAAACCCACAATTAGAAGAAGAAGAAGAAGAGGAGAAGAAGAAGAAGAAGAGGAGAAGAAGATGAAGAAGAAGAAGAGGAGAAGAAGAAGAAGAAGAGGAGGAGGAGGAGAAGAAGAAGAAGAGGAGGAGGAGGAGGAGGAGGAGAAGAAGAAGAAGAGGAGAAGAAGAAGAAGAGGAGAAGAAGAAGAAGAGGAGAAGAAGAAGAAGAGGAGAAGAAGAAGAAGAGGAGAAGAAGAAGAAGAGGAGGAGGAGAAGAGGAAGAATAATAATAAGAAGAATAGGAGAAGAATAAGAAGAGGAGGAAGAGAAGAAGAAGAGGAGGAGGAGAAGGTGAAGAAGAAGAAGAAGAGGAGGATGATGAGGAGGAGAAGAAGAAGAAGAGGAGGAGGAGGAGAAGAAGAGGAGGATGAGAAGAAGAAGAGGAGGAGAAGAAGAAGAAGAGGAGAAGAAAATAAGGAGAAAAGGAGGAGGAGGAGAAGAAGAAGAAGAAAAGGAGAAGAAGAGGAGAAGAAGAAAAGAAGAAGAGGAGGAGGAGAAGAAGAGGAGGATGAGAAGAAGAAGAGGAGAAGAAGAAGAAGAAGAAGAGGAGAAGAAAAGAAAGTAAGGAGAAGAGGAGAAAAGAAGAAGAAGAGGAGGAGGAGAAAAGAAGAAGAAGAGGAGGAGGAGAAGAAGAAGAAGAAGAAGAAGAAGAAGAAGAAGAAGAAGAAGAAGAAGAAGAAGAAGAAGAAGAAGAAGAAGAAGAAGAAGAAGAAGAAGAAGAAGAAGAAGAAGAAGAAGAAGAAGAAGAAGAAGAAGAAGAAGAAGAAGAAGAAGAAGAAGAAGAGGAAGAGGAGGAGGAGGAGAAAAGAAGAAGAAGAGGAGGAGGAGGAGGAGGAGAAAAGAAGACGAAGAAGAAGAAGAAGAAGAAGAGGAAGAGGAGGAGGAGGAGAAAAGAAGAAAAAGAAGAAAATAAGAAGAAAAAGAAGGGTCGTGATCTCTGTGAACCCGTGCATCATGCGAGTTCACTGAGATCGTCCCGCAGCGGCGAACCACTGCATCAGCGTCTATGCTTATACGATCTCGGATCAGTTTGATCAAGTTGTAGACATTTTTAATGAGACATGTATGTAATTAAAAGGATGAGTAGTAGTTAATAGTCTCTTACTGGCCTGTTTAGACAAGCTCTCCATAAAACAAACAAAACAAGCCCTTGCAAATTAATAATAATTATTTTAAAGACGCATAGGCCTATTATACAGACACTTCATTTTTAATGGTATTTTATTATTTTGATTGCATTTAATATATTATACTTCAAGAAAGCGCTTTCATTGGGTTTGTAAAAGCTGTTTTTATGAATGTTTTGGTCTGAGTTTTTGTTGCATTTACACAGTTTTGACCAGCAGCTGTTACCAGCGTGTGGTGTTTCGAGCGCTTTGAAACACTGATTCATTTTGCGAAGAAATTGTTTCAATTGAGTCGAAGCTTCGAAATGCTTCGTTTCTCCCATCACTAGCAAAAACAAGACAAGATAAACATGGAATACGCTCAGTGGTGTCCACATACAGCTGAACAAGACTTTGCGATCTGAGAGCGTTTGTGTGCAGCATTTATGGTCCTCCAGACAGGAAACAAGAGCGTATGCAATTAGTCCCTGGGCATGGGGTGTTATGGGAAATAGAGTCCAAGAAACAGTGGAAAAGGTCTGGGATGGAGTGCCCTCTAGAGGAGCTCATGGGCACTCCAGCTGGACATCGTGACATTACCATGTTTGAAAATGACAATATATTGACCTAATAAATCAAACAATCAAATTTAAATTCTAAACATTTGTATATATAATTTACAGCTCCAAATGACTTTGAGGGAAAACCAGGAAATAGTCTGGAGACGACAATACTGGCTGTAGAAGAGTTTATTTGAGCTGATGTTATGTTTCCATGTGTTTGTGTTAGAAAGATACCTAAATATTTACCTAATAAATCAAACAATCAAATTTAAATTCTACACATTTGTATATATAATTTACAGCTCCAAATGACTTTGAGGGAAAACCAGGAAATAGTCTGGAGACGACAATACTGGCTGTAGAAGAGTTTATTTGAGCTGATGTTATGTTTCCATGCGTTTGTGTTAGAAAGATATGATTAATGCAAAACATAAAGACTCATAACCACACCAGATATATATGAGTCTCTTAAATAACACATATAATGTTATTAAATTAGACAAACTAAAGAATTTTAAACTGGTGTTTAACACAACAAGCAGATTTACTCAGGACTTACTAAAGAACAAATTAAACAAAAGAAAATCAGAATAACAACAAAGTATGAAAACCGTTAATGTAAGTAAACACAAACATTCACATGCTTTTTACTCTTAGTAGCTGCTGCAGATGAAGTTGAGTTTGTAAGTTTCAGGACGGCTGATCCAGCGCTGATCTCCTCCAGACTGAACTGATGTACCATGAACTTTAAGAGATCTGGAGGTGATGATGGTTTGTGTGTGTTTTGTGAAGATCTACTCACCTTCATGACACACAAAAGGATATTGATTGGTGCAAGATACATCAATCCATTTTCCCTGAGCATTAACAGCTGTACAGTTTTCACCACCTCCATAATTATTAGGTTCACCAGTGTCCCAGTATCTGAATAAGGAGTTACTCTGATCTGACCACTGCCATGAGTCTCTGACTCTGAACAGATTGATCCAGACTTGTGATTTAGGTGAATTGGTTGTTCCGACCATGATATTAATGAGCTGCTCAACCTGTTCACTCTCATTCTGGTTTCGTACACTGACCAGATCAGTGTGATTCTGTCTGCAGTAACTCTGAGCGTCTCTCCAATTCATCGTCTCATTGACAAAGACGAGTCCTGTATTCGCTTTAAGAAAAACAAATGAGAAAAGATTAATAAATCAGTTTGTACATTGTTCTTATGCTGCTCTATGGTTTGGATGTTAACAGGAGCAGTGGCAGAATCATCAGAAACACATCATTCAAAGACTTGAGCTGCTTCTACAGCTGGTGATATATTGAATATTCACAATATAAGATATTTTAAAGTTATACCATTGTCTATCTAAATTCTCAATTTTGATTGGCTGGAATGAGTGTGTTCAAACTGTTAAGTGTTGCACACAGAGAAACATTTAGGAGCACAGAAACTGAATGTCAACCCTGTGCTGACTTTTATTAATACAATAGCTTCATGACAGAATCGCTATATTATATTTCTCTGCAATTGTTTCACCTTTACTCACTGCTTTATTTTTATAAAAATAAAGCAGTGAGTAAAGGTGAAACAATTGCAGAGAAATATAATCTTAGAAATAAAATATCTTAGACAGTGATCCATATGGATCATATAATATTAATTAATATTATAAGATCCATATGGATCACTGTCTAAGACATTTTAGGCTCTTTAATTTAATTGCTCTTTAGTTTCCTTTACCACATAGTGTGACAACAAAAGATCAAAGTTTGTTCAGTGAAAGTCTTTTGTTTAGGCAAATATTGTGTCTATACAGAAATTGTCTGAAATAGCACCGAAAGTGTGACAAATATGCACAGTCCCCTCTATACTCAAAATCAAATTAAAAAGTAATAGTGTTCAGTATTGCATTAAAACTAGGATGACCATACGTCCTCTTTTTCCCGTACATGTCCTCTTTTTGGACCTTGAAAAATGCGTCCGGCTGGGATTTCTAAATCGCCCAAAATGTCAGGGATTCGGCTTTACAGTCGCTATTCATTGTCTGCGTTTTAGTTTTAGAGCCCCGAAGAAGACTGTGTCCAGTCCCGCCCACTCCCGCAAACATTCTAACATTGCATATAATTTTCGTGCATCAGTGGGCCGCTATCAATATGCGGAGAATATAATCTCTTTTGAATGAGCGCTCGCTGTTCACTTTCATCACGCGTGCTCTAAGGAAAATCATGTATTTGTCAATGAGCTCAGGATCTGTTGAGCAGCAAATCCTCCAGCATGGTCTGTCAGCCATCTCTCCTCTCTGATCAGTCAAATCTGACTCCTGCAGCTTGTGTTGGATGCAGGGTTGTCAAGATTTTATTATTATTTTTTTTTTATGGAATTGGGCTTTTAAACTGTTGCCATGGCTTGATCACCCCCAACCCCATGTTGCATAAATTACCTTTTGACTGAAATGCTTGTATTGAAACATTTTGCATTCTACCTATGATAAAACTGTTCTAGATATTAAGTTTTGTGAAGGACGGCCACTGGTAGGAAGCTATTTAGCTGTGTTTATGATAAATATGCTTAACACTGACTGTAAAATATGTATATTAGGTATGGAAATGACATATTTTGAGTTTTGATATTTGAGATTTCGCTACTTTGGGCGCTTTCGGCATTACTTTAACCACCAACCAACCACACCCCAGCCCCCCGCCCCGCCCACTGTCCTCTATTTGGAAAACTAAAATATGGTCACCCTAATTAAAATTTGGTATATGGTGAATGCATAAATTAACTCACTGTTGTTGCAGATGAAATGTGGGGTATCAAAGCATGCCAAATCATGCCATTCTCCATTGAACATCACAGCACAATAATCTCTGCCTTCTGGTTGTCCAGTAGCCCAGTTCAGATAGAGCGCAGGTTCACCTGAAGACCACTGCCATTTATTGTGACCTGTCTTCTGCAGCCCAATCCAGACAAACTGAAAACCTCCACCATTCACACTCTTCTTCAGCTCGTTCATGTCGTTCATGTGGTCAACGGTGGCCAGATCTGTGTATTTCTCTCTGCAGTATCTCTGAGCTTCAGTCCAGGTCTTCCTCTCATTTATAAAGTGATACTGACGCTGAACACATTCAGATACGGAGCAGAGAGCTGTGAAAGAGAGGCTTTGCTTTAATGCTTTTCATAACAGGATCAAACCTAATGAAACTATAAACCATAAATAAAACCACAAACACATTCACCAATGAGAAGAAGAATGAAAAATAGAGTTTGGTCCATTTCTGAGGAAGAAAAAATTAAGAGACTACAACATGACATAATTAAATAAATAAATAAATAAAAATAAAGAAATGAATAAAATTAAATAAACTAAAAAATATATATAAAATAGCAGCAGAGTGGAATTCGCATTCATTCAGATAATATTAACATATCAAAGTCAAATTTTAGTTAAATAATGAAAATGTGAGTTGTTCTTACTTTTGAGGCTGTGTCTCTGTCCTGAGTCTGATGTTTCTGTGTGCAGCTTCAGACTGTGTGATTATTATATCTGCTCTCATCTGTCATTCAACACGTCACATAATTTTGTTTATGACTCTAAAACAAAAACCCTATTTAAGTTTTCTTCCTCATTCATGTGTATGTCCACATGTTTCTCTGTATTTTTGCTTTAATTTGATGAAAGTGTGTTTTAACATAAGTTAAAATACCAGGACATAATGTGAAATTGATTTAAATACAGAAACATTAAATAATAGAAATTGTGAAATTATAAATTAAGAAACATACACACTGTAATGACAAACAGCAGAGTTTAAAGGGATAGTTCACCCAAAGAAGAAAATTATGTCATCATTTGCTCTGCCTTGTTTCGTGAAGAGTGTTCGGGTATAGTATTTCTTGTCTATACTTTAGAAGTCAATGAGGGTTTGAGACTGTATTTTCGTGCCATCAGCCAATCAGTGGTAAAATGAAGTGAAATGATGCAAGACCTCCAGGAGTTTGTTTAATCATAATCATACTTAATCATACTTAAACATAATCATCTCAAAAATAAAGAGTAAAATATACATACCTGACATTACAAAGATACATAGTGTGGAGATTTACACATAATTTTTGTATTTTTTTTTCTTTTTAAATTTAAATGTTACTTCCTCTATATTTGTGTATTTGTCCACATATCTTACTGTTGACTGTAACTGCTGTGTTTATAATCAGGCCTCAAAGTAGGAAATAGTATGTGCCGATATTCCCCTCATTTGCTTTTTGACGTCAATCAGTTAGTATCAGTATCAGCAAAACACGCTGTATTAAATTTACACTTTCTCAAGCACATACTATATATCAGCACACACAGCTAATGTTCTTATGGTCACATTTCCTCAATAAAAATTTATCTGAAAGCATCAGTTAACTGTCCAAGCATTGAAGGGATGTGATGTTCATTGTGAAGCCGGGATGGCCTGTTTGATTCTATCAATGCACAGCAAACCACATATTCAAACGCTGTGTTTATCATCACAGGTGACTTCAACCGGTGTAATTTACCAAATGTGCTTCCAACATACAAACAACAAAACATTTTAGACCAGGTCTACAGTATGTAAGGCCACTTTGATCTCCTCATGAAGCCAAAACTTCACGAACAAAACAGATGCCATGCAACAGAACAATAAACTTTCTAATCTGAAGATAAGGTCTACGATTTGTTTAACTGTCCCTTCACCCATCCTTAAGCCCCCTCCGGGACATATGGCCCAGGGGTCTCATTTATAAATGTTGCGTACACACAAAATGGGCATAGAAATATGCATATGCAATTTTCCACACATATATCTGGATTTATAAAATATAAACTTGGCGTAAATATGTACACACCGTGCGGACATTCTAGACCATGCGTACAAACTATTTTTCCTGGAGTG